ATGTATAGTTATTATGTGTAGTTTTGCGCAATTAGTAAAAACAGGTGTCCGAAAACTTTTGTCTAGGGTGTGTATATGATATTTTGAACTCAACCTTTGATTGCATTTAGAGCACAACATTAAAACAAATAATAATGAATTTTATAAGGATAAAATCTTTATTATTATGTTGTATGTGCATGAAATTGAATTCTGTAATTAAATATGGAGTGGTGCTTATGGCTAATTTAATGGACTTCATAAATATTAACATCCTTATTTTTCTGTACTTAATACAAGGCATTCCAGTTATAATAATATTCTCTTGAGGAAAGCAAAGAACAACAGGATGTCATGATAACGGAAGTTCATATCAATCATGTAGAAATCATTATCATATGATTCATAATAAATTTATATTAATATAAGAATCTAAACGAATCTGTCCTGTTTAGCTTCTTTAAATTTTAAATCCTTTCTTTTGTTGTGCACTCACTAGACAAAACTCAGGCGCATTTTTAAACAAAAATTGCGCAAAAACGTACACAATAAAAACACAAGTAACTTATATCATTTTGTAGCTTAGGTTCTCAAAATTTTGCATGCAAAATTTAAAATTTCTATCGTGCCTAGGAAAATAACAATTAAAAAAATAAAAATCCGACCAAAATTTTTTTCCAAAAATATTTCTGACAAAAAAAAATTTAATTGAACAAAAACGTATTTAATAACCAAGCTCAAGTTTTTGGCATGTGACAACAAATGTCTTGAATAATTATCTATGTTGTTTTGAATTTTTTTTTGTAAACATCATTTTGAATAAATTTTTGAACAATTCCTTTGAAAAATTTTAAACTCAAAATGTAACCCTTAAGTGAAAGTCAATGTGGTGAAATCATTGTTCTATATAAAAATATTGTATCAAACCACAAAATAACTAAAATTGTTGGTGTTTATAGGAAAACAGTGACTTGTACTATTCAAAATTACGTTTATAGAAAAGTTCTTGTTACAAAAAATTGAAGTGGCCGTCCATGATGTCCTAATTAAATTGATTGAGAGTATGCCAAGGAGAGTTGAAGCAGTCATTGAAAATAATGAATGGCCAACAAGATATTATTATTATTATTACTTTGTTTATCGAATTTTAAATTTTTGGGTATGATTATTATGTGCATTTTTCAACAATCATTTTTTTTTGAAGAAAAAAAAAAGTCAATTTTGGTCGAAATTTTCTTTTTTAATCATTGGTTTAATAAAAACATTAAAGATGTGAAATTTTGCATATATAATTTGGTGAACCTAAGTTGAAAAACAATATTTTTTATTTAATTATTATTAAGTATGTTTTTGTGCAATTTTTGTTTAAAAATGCGCCCGACTTTTGTCTAGTGAGTGTATATTGGATCCTGGTGCAAGAGAACATTTATCAGGATGTTTAGGCCAAATGAACCTAAAAGCTACAGTCTTCGCGCAGAAGAATTAAATCCATCTGGTTTATTTTTCAGAAACAAGAATGTTAATTTTTTTTGGAATTATCAAATGAAAAATTATTCTATTTATTTTATAAAAAATATATGCTTATTTGTTATACACATACACAAATTCCTTCCTATAAGACAATTCTGCACAACAATCACATAGAGCAGCAGCATTAAAACGGCTCAAAATCTTTGAGAGCCATACTGCTACTATGTGACAAGCAAAAACGAACGGTAGCACCTGATTCTTTAAAAGTTTTGATATCGAAGTCAAGACATAATCTAAAAAAATTTGCCATTCATCAAAAGATGCTAGAAATATAAAGAAGTCATTGAGAGAATTTTATGAATGTAAAAAAAAAAGGAGATTCAAATAGAGCTCAACAAATCAACACTTATGGTTATTAAACGGCCAGTTGGTGAAGTAGTTAAAAATATACATAATATATAACTTTGGAAGTTGTATGATCATTTATTTAATAAAGCTATTCCCAAGTTTTTCGTTCATACAAAAACCATAAAAAACTTATTTTACATAATCACAATTGTTTTGATTTTAGACAAAAATATGTAGTTTTAGAGCTATTTTATATATAAATTTAAATCAGAAAGATAGCTAGAAACTCGGTACCTCGATAAGTCAGTTTTGGCCCAGTTCGGCAAAAAGTTTTTCCTATATTTAAAAGTCAGTCTCACCTGGTATTTGTACTATTTTTAGTCTTAAAATGGAAAGTCAAGAAAACAAGCAGAGCAAGCATCCTCAATACAATATTATTTAAACAAATAATTCATTGTACATATAATTTATTTTATTTTTATCATTTATTTATTTTTATTCTATTTGTCAATTATTTATAAATAAAGGTTTTACGACATCAACCCTGGTCACAAGGTCCCGATCTTATTATAATAAAGGTTCGTTATAAGAAATTCGTAAGTTCCTTTTTTGGAATTTTTATATAACACAAAAAACGTTCATTGTACAAACTCCAAAAATCGTGTTTGTGAAAAAAAGCCAAACGTACACTATCAGATATACATTTTTAAAAAAGTCTCAATAAAACTTTATAATTCATATAGTAAATATATTGGAAAATTCATTTTCAAATCTCATTATCTTTATGCTTTTTTCTGCTTCTGTCAATTGAGAACCAATTGTCACAATATTTACCTGTAAAGATGTGAAATCAATTTCATAGCTTTTGACAAAAAACTTGATTTACCAATATGATGAATAGTAATGACAAAGAAAAAAAGATTTGTCATTATTGTGCAATTCATATTTCTTTGTTTCTGATTGTTCATTCAACAATTTTCTTGATTCTGATATTTCTATATTTTCATTGTTTTTATTAGGAGTAGCTGGTTTTTTTTTACACGTTTAAAAGCATTTTAAATGTGTTTAATTAAAAAATAAAATCTGTATAATGATCAATCCCATTGCAAATACAAAACCCATATATACAACAATCATTTGAAATAAAGACGACTTTTAAATGTACATTTAAGATTTTGGAAAAATCAAATTTTCGTACGCTGCAATTTACAAATATAACATGGCCAGGGTCCTCAAGTCGATAAGTCACCAAATCATGTTTATCCATTCGTGACCGATTTATCGAGGTTACATATAAAATATTGATTCCGCAACAATCCCAGATTATAACTATTATTATTTATTAATATGGAGTTTGCTATTGTACTATTACTATGATGGTTATCCCGGAATTTTACTATTACTATATATATTAATATTAATATTAAATATTAATATTAATATTATATTGATCACGAATCAAGTGATTTGCCAAAATAGTTAATTCCAAAAAGCTATTTTGAGCCGTAGTAAATAATCTAAATATAGTAATAGCAATATAAATTAGTGATCAAAACGTAGTTATTAAAAAAATATTATATTAAAGAAACGACCAAGAAAAAATTGCTAAATTTGTTAATTTTGCGAATTTAAAACCAATAAAGAAAAAAAAAGGAAAAAAATAGGAAATACTTTCATAAGAATTATATTAGTAAGCGTGGGAAATACATAAATAATGAATCATTCAATTAGAATTTCTCGAGAGAATAAATTATTTTTTTGCTGCGTCCGCAAAAATATTTTCAGTCATGAGTATTAATGGTTGTAATGTGATTAATAATGTGATGTATAATAATAACAGCGGAATTAATAAAATCAAAACTTACGCAATAATCATATAAATGTATATAAACGTGTATGTATATAATGTAAAAAAACACATATAAAGTGTGCTTGATCTAAATAATTTTTTTTAAACAAATTTTCCTTTAAATTCTTTTTATTAAAAAAAAAAAAAAAAAAAGAAATTATCATCTATCACATACATAATACACTCGTATTTTGATTAAAAAAAACAATGCGATATAGGAGCTATAAATATTATTATTATTATATAAATTTTATAAATTTTAAACTATACAAAAATGTCTGAATATCGTAAACACCACCAACGTAACAACTTTCACAAAATCTTATCCAGGTTAAGCTTAAGAAGAGAAAGCCATATCTTCCCATTCACTAAATCTGAAAAAGAAATAACACCAAACTTCGTCACTGCTACATTTCCAAATGGTTGTGAAATAGACATCGAAGTGCCTACTGAAAAATTCATAAAGAAATTAGTAAAGAAATATAAGAAGGAAGGACATGTAAAATCTGGCGCATTCTATTTGTTCTTATTAACTTTACAAGATAAAATTGAGCGTGATCACAAAGAATTTTATTCACAATTTATGAAAAAACTTGCTTTAATCGGATCAATAACTTGGAGAAATTGTCCAATATATTATATACAAGCTTTTGAGAGATTGGCTTCCAGAGTAATATCCACTTCCTCAGATAATACAAAGATCGACTTTTCCTTCGCTATATTTTATAGGAAAGCTTTAGATAGATTACCATCTAAAATAAAAAAACCTTAATCATTTTATAAATCATTTTACATTTACATCGTTTAATAATACAAATAACGACTTCTCTCGTTATATTTTATAGGAAAACTTTAGATAGATAACATCTAGAAGAACATTAATCAATATTTTACATTTACATTCTTTATCATTTGTTAATCTGTATACTATATAATAATATTATTATAAAATTTAGAAAATTATCTTTTAAATTATTAATTGACCAATCTTTACTTTGCTAATTAATTAAATAATAATATTCTGTGTTAAATAATACAATAATAATAATAATAATAATAAATTTAATAGCATATATTAAGATTTAATATTTTGTCACTAAATGATAAATAAAATATTGTTTAATACTGACTTCTCCATTATCTCCAAAAGACGAAAAGGTTTCCTTATTTATTCTCAATAATGAATTGATCATCTTCATAAAATACCAAACAAGCTCCCTCATTTTTGATATGACTTCCACAAAGAATAGGCAGAACAAATAGTATACGTGGAAGATATATTATTATCTTGCCATTACCTTCTTTTAACTCACCTAGTTGATAGTAACATTTGAAAAACTCTATTTTTAAATTAAACTGTTTTTAATACTCCCAAATTTACACACGAATAAGTCTAATACTACTTACCTCCACAATACTAATGCTGTAAATATCCCGTTTTCTTTGTGTGTTTTTTTTTTTTGCCTCCAAGTAGCTCAGGTGTAATATAATGTTGCAATCCCATAGATTTTGTTTGATGATTTTTCATCAATTGGTCCACACAACCCCAAATCTATAATATAACAACCGACACCTTGATTATGTAGCAGTTGGAATTACCTCCTTCTAATGTGGAAGAAAAGATGCCATGACCTACAAGGTAGGATTATATCAAAGAAAATATTGCTATATTTGTTGACGACGTTACCTATCATTATTGAGGAGATCCATAAATCGTTACCGGATAAACTCTATCTATGTTTTACCTGATTATGCTCCAACGGGATATTTACAAGCTCTAATATTTACCATGTGAAAGCCAGTGTAAAGAAAGGATAAAATTTTGAAAGGAAATCAGCAGAATATAAGAACCATACCTCGAAACCAGGAAAGAAGAAAAGGGTTATTTGATTATGGTTAGCAAATTACAGCTTTGGTATTTAGTTTTATAAACTATTATATTTCTAAAATTCCTGCGAAAAAACCTAAAGGACTGTAAAACTGTTGGTGGCATAAACCAAGTGGAAATAGAACTTTCTCAAACAACAAAATCCCACGCCAGATTAATTCATTACATCACTTGGGTATACTTTGGGCAAGAAAACCTTCATAATAAGCAAATTTCGCTAACAGCGACAACCCTTTTAATGCGCACAACAAAAAGTTTTTTGTTTTCCAACGGCAAATTTCCAACTTTAATAATAAAATATTCTAAATTTTATTTAGCATAAAACTAATTAATCAAAAATGGCTTCTTATCAACAAAGCACATTTCAGAGTTCTGTAGTTTCTAGTATTTATGCTGAAAAACATTTACATTCCTTTGAACCAGTCATGATTAATATTAGGGTATCACCGACAGTCAATTACAACAATCAGAAGCTATCATCAATCCAACTCAAAATATGCATGCAAGACATATCAGCACTATTTAGCAAGATATATACAGTGTTTGCAACTAAAAATTTCTGTCATAATATCTTTTTCTCTGACGTTTCTATTGTAACGAAACTAAAAATACACGCGATTTTAGCATAAAGATGATGGGTTTTTTACTAAATAGAGAAATTATCATGCAAAATTAATTATACATACGCTGTATATCGTATCGTCTTGAACTTATTTTCTTTTATCGCATATTTCGGGACTGATATAAAAAAAAATAGTTTAATTTACTCTAACGCAAACATCCTAGAATCAATTACCATTGAAACATTCACTCAAACGTATATAGAAAAAAAAAAAGCTTGCAACACAATATTAAATTTACTTAACGAGACAAAAAATACCTTGGGGTCGTAAGATAAAAACTTGTTGTATAAGTAATTGATAATAATATAAGGCTAAAATTTGAGAGTTAGAAAAATTGCTATGTCAGTCACTTTTTTCATTATCGATTTAAATATTTTGAGTTCTTAGAATGTTTCAGATATTATTTTATAATTGAGAGAAGATTTGGAGAGCGAAGCTGTAATTATGTTTTTTACTTTTATTTATTTACGTGCATATTATTAATATTATTCAACAGCAAAGAATGTATTGATGATGGCATCAATTGACAATTATCTGATAATGTTTTCATTGATATAAATAACAACGAAAAATAAAGGATTAGAAAATATAATTTTTTGCTTTAAAATATTTTAATGATAATAATAATAAAAACATCATATTTAATTAATTGAACAAAGAATGGATATATATATTAATATGTTGAAAATTTTAAAACTCGTGTAACAACTTTTCTTAATTTTAACCAAAAAAATATGGGAGTTGAAAGTGGATTTAGACAAAATACTAATGACTCTTTTATTGAGACAAAATCAATACTTAAAAATTCAAAGGCTTTTACTCAAATGAAAATTCAAGATGATAATAATAATAATAACAAATCATCAAAAAGTCGTTCCGAAGTGATTTACAGTGGTAATAAAGATCAAAATACTCTTTCAAAACCAAAAGTCAAAGCGAAATCTGTTATTGAATTTAAATCTCAATCCACTCCACCACTACAATATCAGCAACATCAACAGCCACCACTACCACAATACCAATCATCTCTTTCTCCTCAATTCCAACACCAATATCAATATAATAATAATTCACAATATAATAATAATATTAATCAATTCAACTCTAGAACTGTTGCCAAATCACCATTAAATGCTTCTCCTAGAGCTTTATCTGATGTTACGTATCGTTCACATGACACTCGTACTGAATTAACAAATCTTAGTGATCCGGGTCCTTATGTGTACAATACACAACAACAACAACAACAACAAAAACAACCGTTTAACTTTTCTTCTCATTTGCCAACATCAACAATCAATGACAATGAAAATTATTATCCTAATCATCAAAATCAACCTTTTTTATACGGTGAGGCTAAACCACCTAGACCTAAGGTTGCAGCCAATGCTGTAATGGATTTTGATAATAACAACAATCACACGCAAACCAGAACAACTTCGGCAATAACAACAACCGTTAAACCAAGAAAAGTTAAAATTTCAGCACAATTAAAATCTAACAATTTTACAGACCAAAATTATTCCGACTCAAGGAGTGATGATGATGTTGATGATGGTTATGATTATGAGGAGGATAATCATAATAGTAATAATAATGATGGTGATGATGATGGTGATGATGATGATGATGATAAGTCTGATGACGATTGTGAAGACGACGATGAAAATGAAGATAACGATCAAGCTGAGTTGGATGAATTGATGAGTTTATCGTCTGATCCAAAGGTCCAAAGAAAGGTAATAACAAATTGTTATTATTATTATTATTAACATTATTATATTATTAATAATACATTATTCGCATCTCTAACATTATACATTTATATATTTTATAGTTTCTCGATCTTCGAATTTCAAACAAATCACTTCTGGTTCTTAATGCTACACTGGAATCCACTGTTAAAGAACAAACGGATAAAATTGCTACAATGCCATCATTTGAAGTAATGATGGAGACACAACAAAAGCAATCTGAATATCTTAATAAAGTTGAAGAACTAATTAACACACTATCAACCAGAATGAATGAACATGAAAATGAAATAAAAGTTATGAAATGTCAAATCATAGAGAAAACGTAAGTTTTTTTTAAATTAATAACTAGTATTTCATTCATAATTTATAGATTTTATATCATTAATATTTTTTTTACTAAAAAATTAGTAATGAAAAAGAAAAGGTAAGTTATATAAATCAATTACAGATTTTTTCAAAAAAAAATTTATTGTCGAAAAAGCTAATTCTTTGTAATATATATATCTTTATATAAAGGCACCCTACGATCCAAATTCTCCTCCATTAAAATCTCTTCCACGTGTCATTTTTTACAGAGGTAAAGTTAGATATTATTTTAAAGATAGAGAAAATTATAATAATAATTATATAATAAATAATAAATAATAATATAAATTACTAAATTATCTCATTATTTAATAATATATTTGTTTTATTTATGATAAAAATAGCATATGATGATATTACAGTTGTTTCCTCTGTGGTGGTGTCTTTACTCTATACGATGTATATATTTCCTGTTATTGTAGTAGCAATATCGGCCAGACAATTTGCTGATAAGTCCAGAGAAAAGATTCAAGGAATATTAATATCAAATTGAACTTTATAATTTTGAATTTTTTTTTAGCTTTTATATATATATATATATATATATATGTAATATTAAATTTTTTGTTTTGTAAATTTTATGAAATATAGGTAACGATGAATGTATAATAATTTTAACTTTTATATGTATTTCTATTTTATTGAATATATTATTTTTTTTAGAAATACAGTATATATATTTTTGATTTTAAATAAATTATTATTTAACAGAAAAAATTTTATCGATTATGTTTTCCATAATGAGATAACACTAGACAAAAATATTGGAATAATGTCACAAGAAAAATTTTTGGAATTCAAATTACTCAGAATTTGTTAACCGCAAACATCAAACTCAAAAAAAGAACGAGCCTGCTGCCTGGTTGACAGCGAAGGCTGTTAATATTCCCTAGTTTCTTTTGCATGTATTGAAAAATAGTTAAAAAGTATGTTATAACTTGCTTTACACCCTTTGTATACTTTAACCGAGTTAATATTAAGGTTGTTCAAATTTCGATCTTATTACAAATTATTGTATGCTTTAAAGAAAGGGATCATCATTGAGTTATGGAAACAATCGCTAATAAAACAATGGTGTATAATATCTATTCTAATGATAAAATTGGTCAGATTTTAATAGATGATTAATAATTTTTTGAAAGACTAATAAAGAAATTATATCAAAAGACTCTGAAATCATCATCAGTTAGGACAATTAACCAAGCACTTTACGGTCTTTTGACAAGTCGCGCTTCAGAGTAGCGTGTCACGTGCCTCTTTTTTCTATTGGCGATTAATCTATCTTCTCATTGAATGATGAAAAAATGTCTATTTCATTCATTCCTAAGACGACCCTTTTCAACAGATGCATAATTGTTGATGCATATTTAAAAATAAAGCCTGATATAGTCACAAATTGGGAATGTGATTGCTACAAGAAATTGGAATATTCAATATTATATAAATAATTTATTATAACCCACCGACAAAAGCTTCGTTATTGCTTCTCTTAGTAGCATGAAAAGAGCGGTATACTCCTTATGATGAAGGATCTTACTCATACACATGACCGATACCTCCTCCTCCAGAATCAATAGACCCTAATCAAAATATTTCATAACACGATGCGCACGTTGCAGAAGCTCCTATATTTTGATATTCTCCTTCTCTATGCCAGTGGGTAAGGCATAGCACACTCGCTATGCTTGTTAATGTTTACATTCAAATTTCACATAATTGGTAGTAATCTAATCCATGGCCATCCCATGGTATTCGATTTGCTGGTTTGTTTCCGTGACGGCAGCAGTGGTAATCGTTTTATGTGTCCTTGAGATCCTTGTCTCTGATCATGATTCCTATATTAATAAAAAACGTCAAATAAGTGCTAAACAACAACGTTGTCAAAAAAAAAGAAAAAGACCTAGATTTTTTGCGTGATATCATCGTGAATTTCAACAGCCATGACATGAATTCCTTTGCTGGTTTCAACCCAATTTTTAATGTTCTTCAGCTTCTTGATCGACCCAGACTCGGTTCTGGAAACGTGTAAAAACACTAATCTCCAATTTACTCTTCAACACCAATGGGGTATGTATCTAAAATTGTGACTTCGGCTTTGACGTATTAGTATACTTTTTGAAGTAAAAATTATCCCACGTATCTGCCCTCCACTGTCCATATGGCCTCTTCCCAGTAACTGACATGTCGAATTTTGCGCAGGACTTCTTTCGGTAACATATATAGAAAAAATAAAAAAACAATAGGGTAGCAAGGTATAGAAAAATAGCAGGGCTAAAATAATTCTTGCCTTAAATGAGAAATCCTCCTTCAGAATTTTGATTTTTTATTGGTTGTAAATTTGTAAAATTGACAACAGTTAATTACTATATATTAATTTTCAGTAAAGGTTCTGGAACAGGAGGCTCTAAGGTATTTAATGTTAAAGACCAATATTAAAATTGTAAAAATTTTCACTCTAAACTTTTATTTACCTTGTTGTGATTTAATTGATACTTATTTGATGATGTGTTATAATTGAACTCATCAAAATCATAATCATCATTTTGTGATGGATTTAATTCACCTAATTATAATTCTATTTGATCAGTCTTTATAATCTGAAGATGATAATAAATCAATTTTATCTATGAGATAATCTAAATAATGATGACATAAAGCCCAAAAAACTCATTATGATATCCATGTCCATATATTAGAACCTTCCATAAACACGTGATTGATCATTTCTACATTAATGTTGCATCACAAAATATATTGGGGTTTGGAAGACTTTTGTACAATAGATATCCTGTAAGCAAAGTTCCTATTTTCATAACTTCATCTAATACAAAAAACTTATGACTAGATGAAGATGCTGAATTAGACCAATTTTAAAAGCTCAATAAGGAAAAGAGCTGTTTGTTTTAATATATTTTTTAGTTTCTTAGTGTTTCATAAAATCATTATGTCTTTGACTATCAATAGATATTACATCACGCTTCGATTTTCTGGATTGTAATTTTACCACAATAAGTTCCAAACAAGCCAACTTGAAATTTAATATTATTTTTCTCTTATCAATATTAAAAACAAATTGCAATCCAATAAGTTCAGTCATGTAGAATTTTTTTGGAAAGAGAATTGATTTGATGATTTTGATAATAAAACTAATAAAATAATATTATTTAAATAAATATTTTGATACAAAATTTTTAGTCGGGCTTCCAAATTTTAGTAGCAATCAAGATATTCTCGAAAAAACTGAATTGATAATGTTTGTTTTCAGGGCTAAGCCAAATTTGCATAAAGTGACAACCTTGACTAATACTAAACATGCTATCCTATTTAAAGGGTTCAAATAATTTCAGCGGATTTGATGTCATTTTAAGAACAAGCTGAAAAGAAAAAGATAAACCTTTATCTGACGTATACTCAATTCATGCTATATAGAAGCTATTAAAAAGTATAAACCATGAGTCAAATAATAGTTTCCTTCATTAAGGCATTGGTTAAAAAATTTTTCTAAGGCTTCCTCTTTTTTTATATAAATTTATCGATTTCTTCTAACGGTACAAGACGATAATTGTGAATTCTGATAATAATAATAACTCGCCTCGCGAAAATCCGAGTTGATATTTCCATCCACTTACTGAATAGGATAAATAAAATTTACAGGTCAGGCCTATATGGATAGTTCTTGTGCCAACAACCAAATTTGTTTTCCTTTTGCCATGCGATTAGTGGTGTAAAGTTATTAAAAAAAATCTTTTTGTTAACTTTTAAATGTAAGGTGCTACCTTCAATGCAATAATAATAAGGTTCTATTTATATTTCCAGTTATTAGATTTCATGCAGACTCTTTATACTTTCACATTTCTCAAGGAATCAATCAACGACATCTGATAAAAACTTACCATTATTAAAGTTTGTTTTGGGGCTCAGATATTAAAATATTACAATCGTTCTAACTCTTCCTTTCTCTAAAGGAATCAAAGGTCAAAATTATGAGCGGATGGGGCTCTGAATTTATTGGAATCATCGCATTGGGTTTTCTGTTCAGGTCTTTGTGCTAAATTTTCACCATCTCTGGAATAAGTTAACAATCTTTGTAGTTAACTTATTTTCCTAAATCCTCTATTCCTTTAAACAATTTTTAATATTATGAGTTCGTTATCATTTAATAATCTTCACACTTCCAATTGCTTCTGCAAGCAAAGTAGTCTTTACATAGCAGGAAAGATAATTACAAATCTTTTTTCTTGAATAAAATTTATATTTTTTTGGCGTATGAATGCTTTCAAAAATTGGCAAAATGGTTATAGGTATAGGTCGTTGAACATATCCTTGACTCAAAGTTACAAATTAAAAGGTAGACGGATTATTGGTGTTTCATTTTGCTGCTAGAGATCCTGCCGCCATGAGGATAACAAAAGAGGAACTTACAATAATAATGGAAAGGATAACAACTCGATCTGTTTGGTTTAATATGGTTTTTAAGAAATCTTCATCAAAATCCAATAATAATGGTAGTAAAAAAAATTGGATAATTTTTCTAGTAGAATTTTTTGTCAAACAGTTCAAACAATGAGGCTCACTATGAGTTGATTAAACTTTATTATTCATATTATAATGTTTTTTTTGGCAGCCTAATACTAAGACCTGATAATTGTATGGTCCTGCTAATAGGAATTTAAATATCATGTGATCCACATTAAAAGTTTTGTCTGGTTTTGTTACGGTACATACTCATATAATCTACATTGTTCCTAATTTCAACATTAATGGTGATTAATAATTGCATATATATATATATTCCAATTAAGTTTTATTTAACAATAAAACATATTTACTAGTTGTCAGAAACAGAAGTTATTGGATTAGTTCAATCATCCATTTCAAATATTTTGGCTATTCCTTATCCAGATTATTCTCATTATAAAAAAATTAAATAATATTTTATTTATAAAAATATTATATACATTGTGACAATAGTAACAATCTCACAAATTGCTTTTGATAAATTTTTACAATTAAAAAAAAGATTCTTTTTTTCCTTTCAAATATTAAATCAAGGTTTTGGTATTTTCAAAGTTTTACTAACCATGGCGATGCCACTAAAAATAAATAGCAAAACAAATGGATGAAATTCCAAAAAATCAAATGATAAAATGGATGACAATGACAATGACATTGGTGATGATGATGGCGGTGGTGATAACGGTGATAATAAAGTTGATAATAAATTGACCGTTCCGCCAGGTAATCTATCGCCAATTCTTTCTTCTGAAGTCAGATAAGCAATTAATGCCACAAGAAATAATGTTGTAGGAATGGGAGTGCCCTCGAAGTAACGTACTTTTCCAGAACCTTTGTCTTTTGGCAATGATGCAACGGTTGCATTATAACGTGCTAATCTAGCTATTCCACAACATATAAAAACTGATAAGAGTATTGTATCAAGAAATGTACGCATTCCAACTGCATATGCACAAACTGCTGGAGCAACACCAAATG